TATAAATTCAATATTTAAATTTTTATTTTCTTAAAATTGATTATAAAAATGTATATTTTTATGGTTTCAAACCCTGTAAAAAATATCAGGTATTTTGTAAATTTCAAGAAATCAACTCTTATTCATTTTTCGGGGATTTTTAGAATGCTTATAGAGAAGTTTTTTGATATTTTAAAATTATAAAATCTCGAAAAATTGCATAGTGTTTGAGTTTTTTTTTAATCTTCTAAAAAATCACAAATTCTACAAAATTGAAGGAAGTAAATCTATTAAATTTCTTGGATTTTTGAATGATTTTTTAAGCAGAAAATTGCATTTTTTGAAGCAAAAAATTCTAAAAACATTGCTGTAAATTAAATATTCAATTCACTTGAATGATGTAAAATTAATCTAATATTGAATATATTTCAGTGAAATGAATCCCAGAAAAGTAATTAGGCCCTATATTTTGGCTTCGGGCTTATTGCTATAATTGTTTGTAGATTTTATAAATATTTTTTGAGTATTTCAGCAGCAGTTTTAACATAAATTTTTAATATAAAATCTATAAAATAGCTAAAATTTACAGCTTCAAGATTGCATCTTTGTATAAGGATGCGGAAGATGAGCAAATTTTAAGAGTATTTTATAAAATTCTAATAAAATTGAGCACATTGAGAGCTTAGAAAATTGATTTTTATGCATCTAAAAATGCAGAAAAATATATTATTAAATAGATTTTTACGCATATAATTATAAAAATTTCATAGTTTCTGTAGTGTTATTTACGCGTTGATGCTGGGGTAATTTCTCTGTAATTTAAATTTAAATTAAAAAATAAATTTAATTAATATTTAAATATATTTTTATATTATCTATAAATTACATAGAAATTTAAAAAAGAAGAAAAATATTTAGTTAACTTTAGCCAATTAGTTATTCGCCCATAGGCCCGATATCAAGTTGACATGTTTGACAAGTGGATGGATCTGATTAAAGAGGTCCAAAACAGATCAAGTTTTAAGATCTTAACTAACTTGAATTAAAGATTTTTACCAAATTCCGGAGAATTTTCTGTCCTTTTTTTTAAAAGATTTTATCGCCAATATTTTTATAAAATTGGGACTCAGTTTTTTTTTAGGATAATGACCGAATTTTATGTAATTTACCGTGAAAATATGTGATTAAAATCGTGCTTTTTGGATGATTTTTCGTGTTTATTGATTGAATTTACTCGGATATTACTTAATTAAATCCTATATAAAATTGTTTATATACAATCCTACAACAGCTGTTTCTTTATGTAAACAATTTCTGTAGGATTCGGGAATTTTTAAATGATTCTATGGCATTTTTAGGATTTTATATAAGTAATTTTTACCATTAACTTGTATAGGATCTTATGTATTCTGCAGTTGTTATACTTTGACAATTAAATCCTGTTAGAATTATTCTTATAGGATCCTTTAACAGTTAAATCCTATTGATATTACTTGTATAAAATTCTATACAAACTATGTAAACTATGTTTTTATATAGAATCCTGCGCTAATTATCTATAAGGACTCTTATAGAACTTATATACCGGATCCTGTAGGAGTTACTTGTGTAGAATCTCATAGTAGTTGCTTATAAATATAAACATGTACGAATCGTAAACAGAATTTTCGGAATTTTAAACGAAATCCTATAGAAAATCCTTACGTAGAACCTACTTATATATAAATTGCATAGTCGATGACACTGTAAAAGCTGTCGTATAGGATCATCGACCTACTCCACTTTTCAATCCCTAGAATAATTCTCGTTACTTTATATCAGAAAACTCGAGACAAAGGAAGGAAAAAAAACGCACACACACAACTCAATTTTCTTTTGTCTTAACTCCAATCAATAAAAGGTTAGATTTTTCAACTTTTCGGGGGGTGGGAATAGCCACGGACAAATTTTCTTGCAATCTCTGGTTTTTCACGTTGGCTGCTACAACCCGGATACATTGACATCGTCGATAGCACGATGCCACTTATCTTTCAGTCCATTCAGAAGACACAATCCCGTCCAGTGTCACTTTACGGGATCAGTCGAGATTTTAACAGCTCCTCTGCTTATCTAAACTCCCTTCAAGTGGACAATAAAAGTGCAGAGAAACAGTTATTACAGGATCGCCGATACTTGCCTGTAATTAGCGAGCTACTGATGCAAGAGGGGGGGTTACTTTTTCAGTGTATTTGATCTCTTTGCTTCTGTATCAACCGAACGTATCTTCTCTATTTGTTACAATTTTTAAATCCCTGGGCGTTATCGATTTGAATTCCATCGTTTACCAACCTTCTAATGGCGTCCTTATATTCTGCAATGGATATCAAAGAACAAACACTTCTTATCTGATCTATAGAATAATCTGTCACTTAGTTACTTGAAATGTCTTAATTGCAATTTGATAATTTAACAGTCGACATCAAAGAGCCTTTTGTTACTGCGTACACAATCCACTTGATCCACTACCTGAGTTACCATTGTACTTAATCCATTATAACTTCCAACAGTTTAATTGCAGTTTAATATTTTAACAATTATCTGATAGGTTGGGTTGTAAGAACCATCGATGGGGGTCAGTTATGGTAATGGAATTATTGTCTACGACCAGCTGTTACGCCTTCGTTAGGGGTCGTGACATTGGAAATTGTTTGATGTTACTTCCCACGGAAAGAGACATTTTTATCAAAAGGACTCTCTTCAATGTTCCCAACTCCATCCATATGTAACAGGTAAATTCTTTTCATAATCGACCTATTCTGAACCGCGTCAATCTGCCCATTACAAAGGACATTCTCTCTGCTTGTTAAGGAAACGTCTAGAATTACACGTGACTCAATGCAATTTGTTCTGAAAGAAAAACATAATAAGCCACCATAAACACTGTATGTGTAAATTATTCTTGGAGTTATTTTACATTTTTGTTCAAAGATTACTGCCAGTATACATACTGTATATATAAAAATCAGTCATAGGTACTATATTGTACATAGATAATGCATGTAGCTGTAATTGTGTAGGTATAGAGCATACCACACTCACCGTACACACGTGTAGAACAAATACAGAACAAAAATCACTTCTGCATGTATACAACACAAGCCATGTACACACTATAAAGACACTCGCGTAAAACAACACAAGCGCAACGTAACAATGCAAAAATGAACCATACAAATCAAAGCTGTCAAAGAATACAAGCCGCATACACATTACAAAGACACTAGTACACGCGTACAAAAACACAAAAGCAATGCAAACTGAGCCACATATATCGAAGCTCCAGAATACAAGCCGCAAGTACAGAACAGAAGCCACGCATAAAATGAACCACATAGAACACATCTTTTCACAAAAGAGCACGCGCATACACACAAAACACAAGCCAAATAAATTACATTTATTTTATTTCTAACTTATTTTTATCCATTTGTAATAATCTAGTTTCTAAAGAGGGTCAACAACGGCCGAATACTGTCTACCAGATGGGGTGGCACGGAGACTATTTACCTAACTCCGTGTCCTTGAACCTATTCGATGGACGCAACAGATAAAACATTCTTGTGTCTGTTCTGCCTATTACGGGATAGAAAAATACAACCCCGCTTCGTAACATTATGTAACCTTAAACTGAATCCAGCCAACAATATACAAACAATGACATTTTTTCCCCCGGTTATCTAAACAATCATAACAATTTCATTTATAGAGAACTTCTAACAATAAATAAAATACAATTTCCTTTTAACCTAAATATTTTAGTCACTATTTTTTCTGTGTGTGTGTTGCTTCAATTCTTTTGTGTGTGTGTGTATGATAAGCAATTGGTAGTGATCATAAATAAAGTAACTATTGGAAGTATTCAACAATGGGGTCGAGTAACAGAAAGAAATGTTTACTTAGTTCATAAGAAAAGCAGCAAATTTCTAATCTAGTGTTTAAAAAGTACAGTTCTTTTAAGTCTTAACTTGGCGATAACGTAAATAAACGCCTGCTTAAGTAGTCACATGAATCAAACACACTTAACTCGGTTGTCTCCACAAGCATTTTTTTTTCCTTCTTCCTCCTGTCCTTTGCAGCCATTTGGGTTTTGTTAAGACGTTTCTTTCTCCCTCCCCCTTTTCCCTCCTCCTTTTTTTTGTTATGTCAATAATGAATGAATAAGAGATTTTTTTAATGTATTATTATTAGTATTTAATTTGTAGAAAATGTTGGCATTTAATCTTGTGTTCGGTGAGTGAATGTTTTGCAATATAAAAACACTGAAGCCGCTGCTTCATTGTTGCGTTGGAAAAATACAAATTTTCGCTCGACGTTTGCATGCGACTTCCAATTAAATTGATGAATATCGATCACGTGATTTTTTTTAAATTTAAATGTATTACAAACACGTCGTGTGTCTTTCGTATTCGGTAAATTGTTAGAGGGAATGTATTAGTGACTCCTTTCACTCGATGTTTGCATGCAATTGCCATTTTAGTTAGTTATGGTCACGTGATTAAGCATAAAAACAGCCGCCATTTTTTATTTTCCCGTTATTGGCCGTGGTTCACAGGTTCGTTTCTGTGTATACACGAAGCTACTAACGCAATGTCAGAAATATGGTTGCTTTCGCTCGACATTTGCATGCAATTGCCAATTAAATTGACTAATATTGTTCACGTGACTGAATATTGACATATATTAATATTCGTTTTCTTTATTTAATAAACGAATATCATAACATTAACGGGAAAGGCTATTATTGTATCGTTACATCGCTTTTTATAAGATTACAAATTTGCACGCAATTACAAATCATATTCCTTGGTGTTAGTCACGTGATTAGATATTTAAAAAAAATTCAATATTCATAATCTGTGTTCAATAATTTGAATATCGTGACATTGAATACAAAGTATCATTTCGTTACAACGTCGGAGAAGACAGATTTTTCACTTCGAAATTTGCACGCAATTTCCAATTGTAAATTTTAAAAGCGCTCAATAGTTGCAAATGACTACCAATTACATTTATTAAACTCAGTCACGTGACTGAATAATAGCAAAACTGTTTCGTTAAAAGACATTATCTTCGCTCGACGTTTGCAAGCGATAACCAATCACATTTCAAAACGTCATCGACGTGATTAAATTTAAAAATTTGAATAATCAGACAAGCGTTTAACTTAAATAAACCGTTTAAAATATATTATAATTAAAATGTTTATTCGGATAAGTAAATAATACGTCTTTAGTCATTTAGGTATAAATGGTAACAGTCTTAAAACAATATTTATTAAAGAAAAAAGCAAAAATAATCTTCAAGTATTCTCTTCTTATATTCTTAAAGAGTAGAAAGGATAAAGCTGGTTTGAGTCATGATTTTAGTTGTAAGGAGACCACATGTTAGACTGGATATAAAGGATCATTAGTCTTGGTGGCATCATCATCCACAGCACCACACCAGCTATTACACCATCACAATGACAAGGCAATGAACCAGATCGAAAAAAATTAACCTCGGCATCCTGAAAAAAAAAAAACGAAAGAATAAATATGATAGTTGTTGAATAACATAAAATAAATATGTTTTTAAATATCATAATCGTATCGTGAGTTAACTGAAAAGACATACATTGTATGTATATCCATACAAATGAATACACTAAACGACTATTGTTGAAGAGTGATGCTTATGAAATTGTAAGATATTAATCAGTTTAGCCTTATTTAAACCACTGAAAATCTCTACCCTCCTCCTATATATATATATATATTTTACGTACAGAGGACGTTTATGGAGAAAGGAAGATGGTTGTGTAGCATAGTTTCTTTCTCGCTACAATGCCCCCCTGCTTGCCTGTATAGTTATTCTCTTGCATAATTCTCTAGCCTGGGGTGTATAGACCAGATGGCCGCACAGGTGACTGCAACCAGATCAATAGGACAGACAAGAAAAGTGCGGTGAGACAGCGGTTGTTAGTAACAATATGGCCAACCACACGCCCCAAACTTATCGGCCTTATTGAGCTGTATTCTTACGAACCTTCATAGAAGCAGGATATATGGACCCTCTATAGAAACCCTATAACAATGTACTAATTCAAAGACTTCAGACCGCATCTTGCAGAAGATATACAGTATTTCTATATGAACGACCACAGGAGAACCACAAAAGAGATCAAGTAATCGTTCGATAATGTCACAAACTTGATTCTTTATTTTTTTATTTTTTTTACTGTTTAACAATAATTTCTGTCTCGAAACCACTTCTAAAATATTTTTTAACGTTATAAATGCGTTTAAAATAAAATTACATGCGAAAATTTCACGCTTGTTTGCTCGTATATTTCACAATCAAACGTTGAGGAATAGCGTATAATAGTACTACGTAATTATAATTTCTAACAAATAAAATGAGAAAGAATTAATAATTATACTCGAACGATACAATATACACAAAAATTTTGTACAGAATAAATTATAACTTTAACTATATTTGCTAAATTCCAACAATAAAATAGCAATAAATTTTCTAGCTCAGAATATTATTTCCCAACCTGTAGCTCGCGAGCCACTCCCGTAAAAAATCAACTGTAGTGCACCAATTGTATTAAATCACAAATAACTGTTTGTAGAAAGAAAATAATGTAATTAATTAACAAAAATTTCACATATTTTTACACAATATCTACCTATTTTATTGATTTTAAAGTCATAAAAACAGTCTCCTGTCACACTAGACACTACAGCTTGTTTCTAGTCTGTAGCGTTTATGTGAAGGATATGAATCAGTGTATACTTTCTATTGTATAATACTTTCACGATAATTTACGGGACGAAATTACTGCTTAATTAAATTCAACATCCCTAGTTATAGAGAAAAACAATGTAAACATATATTGTATACTCACTCACACACTTGTAAATTCAGCAGAAACATTTCTTAACCTTTTTATATTTCATCTGACTCGGCTTACCGGCAGCGAAACTATTGCAAAAGAACTATAAAAATTTACAATAAACGGAAGGGAAACAATAGACATTGTGCAGATATTGCTGTCATCTTTCTTTCATACTTTCTGGAGAAAAAAAAAAACTTGTGTTTTATCAGAAGTCTGGTAAATATTCTAGTTGTGCACCTGAATATTTTAGATTGCAAGGTAGACAGACCAACGTTCTCTGCTGGAGGCAGCACCGCTTCACTATGTTCGTTACCATAGTAACACAATTGAATCAAATGTGTGAGCGCCGTTTGCCTTCCCAACGACAGTGATGGTCTCCCCCAGGCACCATCTTCTCTAATTTAGTGTTCGTTGAAATTTTTTCTACATTAATGTGTAGCAATGTTGAAGAATGTTTCTTCTATTATAGTAAAAATATCTGAAATAATGAATGAATTTTAACCAAATTTCTTCGCTGGTAATTTGCACGATTTCCTCCCTCCTCTTCCCTCCTTTCTGCATTTCAATTAAAACCCCACCCTCCCTTTAAAATTAGTGTAAAGAATTTAAAATAATGCTTTCCCCATCGGGTAATATTTGGCTAATATTTGGTGTCGGTGTTAAAATTTAACTGGGATTTCGATATTGGTGGTTGATATATTTAACAGATACCTTCTCTGCCTCTATCGATATTTAAGTGGGGGATTTTCATCCTGATTTTTGTTTCTTTACTGGATATTTTGCTGATATTAACGTCTCCGATTCTATGGCATTTAACGGGTATTCAATGCCATATTAACGAATATTTCAGTGGTAAAATTTAACCCATTGTTTGGCGAGAATCTTAATCCAGAAAACACCACGATTAATCATAAAATATACATAAACACACGGTTCATTTAAAAATCGGCGAATAAAACAGGAAGACAATAGAAAAATGGCCGATTTTATATTGTTGGAAATGTCCAGACGTTTAACAATGGAAGAGGAGAGCGAAATGGTCATGTGACAGAGAGGAACATCTGCAGGCTCTTGAAATATGCATGAACATAGGACATCACTAATGATGGTGTAGTAGGACGAACAAACGAATATTGCAGATCTGTATGTGGACACGGGGCACTTATTTCTTCAATCTTGGCACTCCATTCTCATCATACCAGCTGCAAGAACATCAATACAAAAATGCCACTTTTCTTCCATACACACACACACACACAAAAACTGCATATAATCATGGAATTATTAGAGAAAATCGATAATTTCTAACGAATTTTTCCAGTTTTATCGAATCGGGAATGTATTAATATCCGATTTATCACGTCAGTTTTTCATATTTTTATTCTCTTTTTTTACCCCCCCCCCCTTTTCTCTTCGCCTCCTATGGCAATTTTATATCCTGTAATCCTTTCAAAGTCCAATCGAAAAACCACCTTGGAGAATTTATTTGATTTTGAAAATAGCAGACATTGATGGTGGAATATAACAGAAATGGTATTAGTTGGTTTGCAGTCAGGCTGTGTGAAGTTTTGATGTTAATCCTGTTTAGCATAATGTCATGTTTGATTCCATTCGAAAATACTTTATTCCTTCTCTTCTTCTTCTTCCCTCCATCTTTCTTTACATTTATAGTCAAATAAATTTATTAAAAATGTCAAATTATTGCATTTTTATTTCGTTTTAGATCAATTGTTTCTATGTTTTATTCTTTTTTTAAAATGTAATTTTTGGAGGTTTTGTTGTTGTTTTTTTTTTAGATAATTGAATTTTTTTAAACGTTTTTCGATTTGTAATTTTATAGATTTTTTATTATTACTTTTTTTTTGAAGTAAATTTGATATTTTTATGAAGTTTTCGTGATGTTTTCTTCGCAAAAGTTGATTTTTCTCTCGTCGAATTTGCTATTTTCCTCAATTTTCCTCGCCAGATTTGATGTTTTTCCGGAATTCTTATAGTTTTCTCCTGTAAAATTGACTTTTTTTCCTCGTCAAAGTTGATAATTTTAAAATGATATCTTGTGGCTATCTTCAGTTTGATGTTTTCCTCATCAGCATTAATATTTTCCTCATTAGAGTTGACTATTTTTTTTTATTATTAAAAATGTAACAATTTTTATGAACAAAACTATCGTTTCCCTCGGTTAGAATTACTGTTTTCTTGATTAAAAGTAATATTTCCTCTCAAACCAAACAATTTCCCATTAAAAAAAATGAAATTTCCCTCATTAAAATTGAGTTTCTCCCTTGTTTAAGGTGCTATTCCCTCACCAAAACTGTCACTTCCTCGCTGTTCTTGTACCAAAGTAAATGGTGAAGAAATCAAAATATTTTTCTGGAATTTCGTATTTCCTCATCAAATTAAAATTTATGTTCTGCTGCCAAAATATATTTGAGCCCTCTTATACCCCAAAAAATCTGAGGAAATGGAGAAATTTTAAAATATTAAGGGTCTAATAGTCTGTTACCATATGCTTTATTGAGGGAGGTTTCATTTTAGTAAAGAAATATCAGCCTCAGTGAGGAAATTTCAGCCCCAATTACATTGAAAGAACGTCAGAGTTAACTTAAAATGTCCTCACAAGAGTTTACTTATTTTCACATCAAAGTAGAACTGATAGATCGATTTAGTAGACAGGAAATTCCCTCATCAAGTAGCTCCTTTCCTCTTGATATCTATTTGAATGAGTTTCTGTATCGATTTAAATGAGCTCCCTCATGAGTTAAGATGTCGTGGAGATTTAAATGAATTTCCTCATAAATTAAAGCGTATTGAAGAGACTCGAGTTCTTTCCTCGTGAATTAAGGAGGATTGAAGAGACTTAAATGACTTTCCTCATGAGTTACGAGGAATTTAAGAGATTTAAATTCATTTACTCATGGATTAAAGTTACTTCAATGTCTCAAGTAATTTTCCTCGTGAATTAAAGAGACTTAAGTGAATTTCCTCACGAGTAAATACGGCTTGAAAAAGTTTAAATGAATTTCCTCGTGAGTTAAATGGAATTTAAGAGATTTAAATCCGTTTCCTCTTGGATCGAAGCTTATTGAAGAGACTTAAGAAACAATTAATTAAGAATTAAGGAGGATTGGAACGACTAAAAATGAGTTTCCTCGTGAGTAAATACGGCTTAAAGAGAGATTTAAATGAATTTCCTCACGAGCTAAGATAGTTTTAAGAGATTTAAATTCGTTTTCTCGTGAATTAGAATAGATTGAAGAGATTTGAAAGACTGTAAATTGGCATACCTTGAAGAGAATATTTAATAAACTAATTTCCTCATTAAATATCTTCCTCTGTCTATTTAATTAATGAAAAAACACGTAAAAAGTAAAAATTATAACACCGTCTGCTTAGTTTTATACATTAACTTAACCCAAAAGAAGTATAAATTTCCTCGCAGAAAATGATTTATATACATTAAATTTTTAATAATATTTATTCCTCAAATTGATTTAATATTTTAAATACATTTAGCAAGTAAAAGAAGAAGAAAAAGTTTTAAAATAATTCCAAAAAATTATATCATTCTATCATAATAATTGAGTGAAGTACACTCAAAATCGAATTTGTCCCTTGTAAAATTGGTTTAAAAAAGCATCGATTTAAAAATAAAAAAATGCAATTTTATTTTTATTTTTATTTCATTCAAAAAATGTAACATATTTTACTTTTTTTTTTTCCATTTGTCTTCTCCGATTTATTCACTTTTTAATATTGTTATATCTTCGCTTGTCATTTGAATAGAGGAATATGTTGAAGTTGTCGAAATAATTCAAAATAACTTTTATGTATTTTAATATTCAGAATTTTGAATATGTTTTTTATTAAATTGAAGGATCGACGTATACGAAATCATCGAAAAAACCCCCCAAAATACAAAAAAATACCCCCTTTGCTGAACGCCTTCTTAGGCAAACTAATGAGAAAAACTCGGTTTTTTTTCCTCTTGTTTTACCGGAATTTTTAATGTTTTTCGATTGGAAATTTTAAAATTTACTTGGTTTATTATTAATTATTTAATATTATTTACCACAATTTTAATAAAATTTTCACCCCCCCAAAAAAATACAAAAAAATGCCTCCTTTGCTGAACGCCTTCTTAAGCAAATTAATGGAAAAAAAACTCGTTTTCTTCTGGTTTTACTAGAATTTTTAATGTTTTTCAATTGAAAATTAAAATTTATTTGGTTTATTATTAATTATTTAATATTCTTAACCATAATTTTGATTAAAACCGTATATTTAGGTAAGGAAAGTGAATTATGATGATGATTAATCATGCAGAAATACCATCATCATTAACGCTGTAACAACTATTTTGCATTAGTTTACATTAAATTTCGTTCCATTTTTTTTTTCTAATATTAATTATAATTTATTTACTTTATGGAGTATTTTCTAGGTTAAATGTTTTCTAAATTATAAATTACTTTAAATACCTTTCATTAAATTTAGTTCACTGTTGAATAATCAAGATTCATTATGGATAATCATGGTTTATAGTTATGATTTCATTAACGTGGTTTCCTAAGACTGTTTCTAATGGAAATTCATAATTTACCATGATATTCTCTTCATAGAAATATTAGATATGACGTTCTATCTACAGGAAGCATTCAAGGTTTACCAAGCTTTTAAAGGAACCGTGTAATAATTGTGTAAATAAAACCATGTTCATGAACCATAGACTGAAACCAAATTTAATTGGAAAAATATTTTAGAAACATTTTCTTACTTTCCGAACTATTTATATTCCAACCTTACTATTTTCTTAACTTCTTATGCTCTAGTTTGGGAAAATAGTAAAAATGGGGCATGAATAATTGGAAAAATAGTAAAAATGGGGCATGAATAATTGGGAAAATAGTAAAAATGGGGCATTAATAATTGGGAAAATAGTAAAAATGGGGCATGAATAATTGGAAAAATAGCAAAAATGGGGCATGAATAGTTGGGTTAAGAATATTTTTCCAACTATTAATCTCCCATTTTTATTGTTTTCCCAACTATACATGCCCCATTTCTACTGTTTTCCCAACTATTCACACCCCATTTTTACTGTTTTCCGAACTATTCATGCCCCATTTCTACTGTTTTCCCAACTATTCATGCCCCATTTCTACTGTTTTCCCAACTATTCCTGCCCCATTTCTACTGTTTTCCCAACTATTCCTGCCCCATTTTTACTATTTTTCCAACTATTCATTTCCCATTTTTATTATTTTTCCAATTATTCATGCTTCATTTTTACTATTTTCCAAATATTAATACCCCAGTTTTTCTATTTTCCTAATTATTCATCAACGCTTTTTAAAAAGAATCGTGTTTCCTTATATAAAAAAAATATATATTTAAACACTTTCTAAGTAATAATTAATTTAAATCATAATTAAGTAACTTAATTATATTTTTAAAAAATTGTCTCGATTCATCAACATCATTCACAGTTCCATCCAAGTGATGCGGATGAAAGTGCTCCTGATAAATTGACATTTCTTCTTCTTCTTTTTTTTTCAAAATAAAACAGCAAATCTCTCCTCCTTTTTTCTGCTTCAGACAGTTAATTGTCATTTTAAAAAAAGGCGCGATTGATCAAACATATGAATCGTAATTACTGTTAGGGATTAAACGATGTTTTGTTACGATACACTCTTTTCGTTACGTCACTCCATGTAATTACCGTGTAATTAAAGAGATGTAATTATTTGCCCATCAAATTGAAGTAAACTCAGTGTTACACGAAGCCAGTAACAAGTAATTCTTTAACGTCACCGATACGTAATGATGTTCCAGATCCGAAAACGTCAAGAACTTGACAAGGAGCCGAACAATAAACTGTGGAAGAAGTAAAAGGGAAGATTCTTTCTGGAAGTGATACACACAAATAATTAGAAAGGAGAGAAAACTTAATTTCTTATGTCAGATGGAATCTGTTACG